TAAAACTAATACTATCTAAATAGTTTTAATTAAATATTTGATAAAATTAAAGGGATAGGGGATTTAAATTTTATTTTAAATTTTGAAATGAAGAATCATTGCTCATATAATATGAGATAACCTAACCTTGTCAAATCCCTTCTCCATCTATTTTAGAATTTGGAAAAAAAAAAACTTCCAACATAAACGTTCAAATTTCACCAAAAAAGAGAATGATTAAATGTTTAAGTTCTTAATCACTAAAACATTTGCTAAAGATGTTGCGCGATTCATCCATGTGTGCATGATTGATTCATGTCAAAATTACCAATAAAAGATTTCAAAATTGTTATGTCCTGTCCGCACATTATCAAATATTAGCCCTTTCCTCCCACAAGCCACAAACTTAATGCATTAGGAGGTACTCATGAGATAAATATGCTCCAACTTCGCTATATCCTCCATTTCTATTATTATGCAAAATGTCTAAATATTTTCTCCTAGAGGCAAATCTGCAAGCTTCGGACGAGTTCCAAGTACCCTTTCCATGTCAAATCAGACTTCTTGTATCCAACCACCATCAGCCAGTAAAGAAGCTTGGCAAGTTCTGAGGCACTAGTCTCTGTTACACTTGTCTGCAACATATTAAAAAGGAAATTAGGAACAAGAAATCAAATGTAAAATAAAATGGCATGATTATTATATCTCAGAAGATGATTTATTTCTTCATGCATAGAACCAAGTTATTTCCAAGAAAATATTGTTTTTAGTCCATACATAAATGACTAGAAAAGAATAATGTTATGGGTCTCTTAGTCATTTGAGTCCAGAGTGGCACTTTTACTGGAAAATAGTATTCTCTTCTTTACTTCCAATATGTGTGTGTGCATGGAGTATGGTTTGAGCTACACATTCAACAAAATGATCTTATTTTGAAAAACCGTTAGATAATTGTTTGATAATATGGGGAAATAATGAAAATTTAAACCTTAATGTCAAGAATTTATGGAACAAAAAAATGAAGAAAAGAAGAAAAGACAGTAAAGATGATGATGATGACAATAAATGATAAACCTTCATTTGGGTAGGACCAGAAACAGCCAGAAGACGCTTGATGAATGTGTTCATTGCAAGCACAACATCCTCACCAGCATTACTAGTCAACTCCTAGAGCAACAAATAATACAAGTTCAAAATTTCATAATCTTACCAGAAGCCCCCACCACAGTCAATGAAGGACAATCAGGGAAGCAGAAAACCTTGACTCTGCCAGTAAGCGCCAACTACAGACAACAAAGGTGATCGAGATATAACACAAAATTAATAAGTAAATAGCTTCATTTACCTTCAGATTTTGTGGCTCAAGAGAATTGAGATATTCCAATAGCTCATTTTGTCCATTTGCAGTTTTTCTACCAACTTGACGATTCAGTTCCTCAATCTCTGCTTCTAGAAACTCAATGTACATTTTAGCATCTATTCTCTCAGGATCAGAAACATTATTCAACCTGAGAACTTCACCAGATACAATCTTTTGTGTGCCAAGTGCATAATCCAACGGTTCCTGCCAAGATGGGATCCATTTAGCATGAGTAAAATAACTTATACAACATAGTGTTGCCAACTATGTAGGTACTGCAATCATCATTATGAAAAATAAACATTGACCAGTAACTCACAAGAAGAGGAACACATTGACAAAATTCCAAAATGGAGAACAAGTTTTTTTCCCATAAAAATACAATATGTAGCCAATTTTAGTAAACCAACAATAGACCACAATTGATAAAAGCAAGGTTTACATGAATTTCATCAAAGAATCGAAGGAACTTGCAAATTTGATTTGGTTAGCGTCAAAGAGTACCGAAATATGAAAGATTATAAGATGCAAGCATGCATTGGATGACACATTTATGACCGATGATATGATTATCCAAGACAATATTGTGCTTGTTAAGATCTAAACACAATAATTTAGATTACATTCACATTTATTGTAAATATTTTATACTATAGAATATTCTCTTTATATACTTTATATCTTAAAATATTCTCTTTATAAACACTTATATATATGTTATTGTACATACAGTATTATTTAAGAAAGAAATAAACTTCAAATATTTCTCCTTTTTTGATTTCTATCATGGTATTAGAGTTATAAGCTCCTAGTTCTTCTTTTATCATTGCTTGGTTATTGAGTTGGATTTTCAGATCTATTCCAAATATGAAATTTTGTCGTTAGGTTCTCTTCTCTTGCAAATTGGATTGTTTATTCTCAATTCTCATATCTTTGCTAAAGTATTTTGTTGAGTTGTAATTTTGATCTTGGCATCTATTTCTTCATATTTTTGAGACTTTCAATATTGTGAGTTCTATTGATTCTATGGCGAGTTTTGAAAGAACTATGACTCACTTGCTACTGCAATGGTTGCTAAAGAGGCAATAGACCAACCTATTGTCAACCCTAAATCTCTAAAACAGGTGCTATTAAATCTTCTCTGCTGCTCCAGATACTAAACCTTGGTATTTCGATTATGGTTGTTGGTAATCACACGTCCTCAACTACTGCTTATTTTTCTTCAATGTCACCAAATAATTCCTTTCCTAACATTTATTCTGTTGATGGCTCTTTTATGAATGTTAGTCACATCAGTAATATTTCTACAAATTCATTGACTTTACCAAACGCTTTCTTGGTTCCAAAACTTAGTTAGAATCTCTTATCTATTGGTTAGTTATGTGATCTTGGTCTTGAAATAACTTTTTCTACTCATGGTTGTCATGTGTAGGACCCACAGATGGAATAACTTCTTCGAACTGGTCGCAAGGTGGGGCGTCTGTTTGAGCTCAATTATCTACTTATACCTGATCATAAAATGGACCATCATTTCCAAATGACCAATTCATCCAAACCCTACTTTGTACTGCTGAACTAGAGTCTTTACAAATTCCATATCAACAAATCTTCCAAGCCTGTGTTGCTACTAATATTTCTCCTCTTCATTTATGGCACTCACATCTTGGACATACCTCAATCGATAAACTCCGCCCTCTTATCTCTTGTGGTTTATTAGGATCTGTTCCAAATGAATCCTTGCATTGTGTGTCATGTCAATCTGCAAAACAACCAGTTTTATCATTTACTAGTAGTCATTCTCTTTCTGTTGCTTCTTTTGATCTCATGCATTCTGATGTTCGGGGTCCATCTCTGACACCTATCATGGGGGGTTCTAGGTATTTTGTGTTATTTATTAATGATCATACTTGTTTTACTTGGATATATCTTATGAAAAATCACCTTGAGTTACCACAAATTTATATTGATTTTAATTACTATCATGGGTAAAACCTAGTTTTCTAAAATTATCAAAGTTTTGAGAACTAACAATGCCACTGAATATCTTAGTACTAAACTTCAATCCTTTTTGAAAGAACAGGGTACACTGACACAACAATCTTGTCCCTACACTTCTGAACAAAATGGGCGAGCCGAACGTAAACACAAACACATCCTTGATTTTGTTCATGCTTTGCTCATTTCGTCTTTTTGTCCAAAGCAATTTTGGGGTGAAGCTACTCTTACAATTGTTAATCTCATTAATCAGATTCCATCATCGGTCATCAATAATAAGTCTTCAGACAAATGTTTGCATGATGATCCTCTTGCCTATGATCTTCTTAAAGTTTTTGGTTGTACTTGTTTTGTTCTTCTCCTACCTCATAAACATAATAAGTTAGAGTCTAAAGCTCGATTATGTTGTTTTTTGAGTTATGGGATTACACATAAAGGTTATCATTGTTGGTATCCTGTGTCACCAAAACTTTGAGTCTCACGTCATGTTGTCTTTTTGGAACACACTATGTTTTCCTCATTATCAAACTTCCAAGTGTCATCTTTTGATCAACCTCCACTTTTTACTAACCCTTCTATTGAGTTATTTCCTAATGAATATGATGCAAATACATTTGATAAGCTCCACGATGCCTCTCCACATGCTCTACTTAGTTCTATAGAAGATTTTCTACTTGTTGGTAATGCATTAGACAATGCTGAATCATCTTCCCTTACCTCTTTTGTATCACATGTTGGATCTAACTCTATTGATCTTGAGCCCGAAAATGGGATCCTTAATCCACCTTCAAGTCATCCTACTCGGGTAAGAAATCCTCTTAGCTATCTTCGTGATTATCATTGCTTTCCTACTATTACCTCCTTACATGAGCCTTAATCTTACCAAGAGGCCTTTTCTAACCCTCTTTGGCAACAAGCTATGCAAGATAAATTACAAGCTCTTAACAAAACTTGTAAATGGGATTTAGTTGATCTTCTTGTTGGAAAGCCTCTAGTAGATTGTAAATGGGTGTACAAGATCAAAACTTGGTTTGATGGTTCCGTGGAGCATTACAAGGCTCGTTTAGCTGCTAAAGGATTTACTTAGGAATTTGGGATTGATTATGAGGAAACCTTTGCACTTGTTGCTCACTTACTTCAATTCGTAATTTGATTGCTATTGTTGCTGCAAAAAGATGGAAATTTTTTCAGATGGATGTGAAAAATGCCTTTCTAAATTGTGATCTTGTAGAGGAAGTTTACATGAAACCACCTCCTAGACTTGAGCATCCTCCAAACAAAGTTTGCCAATTAAAGCGAGCTCTATATGGTTTGAAACAAGCACCTCGAGCTTGGTTTGCGAAGTTTAGTACCATCATTAGTGAATTTGGTTTTACTTATAGTCCTCATGATACTACACTATTCATACGCAACACTAATCATAATATGGTTCTACTATTTCTTTATGTTGATGATATGATCATTACTGGGGATGATATTTCAGGTATTCATGATCTTAAGCAATTTCTCAGTCATAAGTTTGAGATGAAAGATCTTGGTGTTTTGAGCTATTTCTTAAGACTTGAGGTCACCTCTTCTGATGATGGTTATCTTTTCTCCTAAACAAAATATGCTTCTGATCTTATATCTAAAGTTGGACTCACTGACAGTAAGACTGCATCTACTCCTCTTGAGCCCAATGTTTGACTTACATCCATGGATGGTTCTCCATTAGTTGATTCTACTTTCTATAGACAATTGGTTTGAGGTTTGATTTATCTCACTACAACACAACCAAACATAACTTATGTAGTTCATGTTGTTAGCCAGTTTATGGCTATGCCTCGCTCCACTCACTATGCAGCAATACTTCGCAATTTTTGGTATATTAAAGGTACCATGTTTCATGGACTTCACTTTTCTACTCATTCATCTCTTGAACTTTGTGCTTATTCTAACACTAATCAGGCTAGAGACTTTAATGATCGTAAGTCCACCATTGGATATTGTCTTTTTCTTGATGATTCCTTAATCTCTTGGTGTAGCAAAAAGCAAATAGTTCCATCATGTTCTAGCACAAAGGTTGAATATTGAGCACTTGGAGACACCACATCAGAGTTACTTAATTTATGTTAGCTACTAGAAGATATGGGTGTTTCTCAACCGTCTACTACTAATCTTTATTGTGACAATCGGAGTACCATGCAGATTGTTCATAATGATGTCTTCCATGAATGCACTAAACACATTGAGGTTGACTGTCACTTTATTCGCCATCATGTTGCACAAGGAATTGTTCATTTGGTTTTTATTGGCTCCGCTGATCAACTAGCAAACCTTTTCATTAAGGCTCATTTTTCTAGACACTTTCGTACTCTTCTTTCCAAACTCAAGTTGGTTTCATCACAACCACCTTGAGTTTAAGGGGACGTGTTAAGATGTGAACACAATAATTTAGATTATATTCACATTTATTGTAAATATTTTATACTTTAAAATATTCTCTTTATATACTTTATATCTTAAAATATTCTCTTTATATACTTTATATCTTAAAATATTCTCTTTATATACTTTATACCTTAAAATATTCTTTTTGTAAACACTTATATATAGATTATTGTACATACAGTATTATTCAAGAAAGCAATAAACTTTTCTTCTAATATTTCTCCTTCTTTTTTGATTTCTATCAATGCCCTTATATTAAATTCTGTCTAGACAAGAATGACCTGCAAGACAAATTGGGAACGGTATAGACTATAAAGAATATATGATTGTCAGGATTATGTTAATCTCTCCCAATGTGTTAAGGACTGACTTTTTGATTTTTCTCAGGGATAATGAAATGTGTATTCAATGGGGTCCTTCAGCAGCATGACACCATATGCTTGAGCCTATACAAGCGTGCATATCCCAAGTGGCCAGAACATCGGTTCCCGCTTGATGCTTGATCAGGTAGGGGCCGGTCCTCATCGAGACAGAAGACATGCTTGTTCATGATGGGAATGAAGCGCTGGTTCATATTTGTCTATTCAACTTCCATTGGTTGTTGTTGATGGTTGTTGTTGTTGATAGATTACATGCAATTCAGTGAAGTATAGCCTTTTTGCTTTCCATTACCTTTATTTTCTTATTATGGAGGATATATATATATGGATGAGGAATACGCAGCAATGGAGCGCTCCTCTCGTTGAAGAATCTAGTGGGAAGAAACAGAAAAAGAAAAGCCTGATTTTTGTATTTTGATATCAGTTTTTCTTCTTCTAGTGCCAATACAAAGAGAGAAAAAGCAGGAAAAGTCCTTACTTTTTCTTTGATATATTTTTTCTGAGATAAGACATTTACATAAATTTTCTTATATGCATGGTTGATTCATTATAATTAAAATAAAAACCTAAAAAATAAATGGTTATAAATGTTCATTCATCTAAAACTGTTGATAAGAGATTAATTATAAATGTGACATCATATGGAAAAAAAGAAAAAAGAAAAGATAAAAAATTGAATGTAAAAAGGGAGTTTTTATCCGTATGTTGAATGATGGGATCCACAACAAAGCTAATGATACTCTAATTAAAACCAAGATTTAAGATGCATTTATAGTAACCATTGATTAAGTTTTGTGAGATTCAAAGGAACCATCGTCGATGGGTGAAAAAATTTTAGGTTAAATTCCTGTTTCGGTCCCTTTCTCTGAGTTTTGGACTGAGTTGGTACTTAAACTTCAAAAACTACCAAAATCATCCTTAATCTTTAGTTTTCAGCGGACGTGGATCGTTAAGTGATCCAAAAATGAAAAATTTTAAACCTAAAATATTACATGAAAATTCTAAAATTATTTTAGTAATGAGGTGGATATTTTTAAAACTAAAATTTTCTTTGTTAACATAGGACTTTTTAATGTGTGTGTGTGTTTTTTTTTTACAAATTTTGATAGTATATTAATTAAAGAATTACCAATTTATTTAAATATGGTGGGACTCACCCACTTTAATAGTAATTCTTTTTTTGATCCTAATAATTGGAGTAGTACTAATTACCTCACTCGATTATCCTTTTAAAAATACAATTAACCTTACCCTATTACAGTATTCTTTTAAAAATAAAATTATCTTAACTATTGTTTCTTAATAAACTACATTTAATATAATGGAATCCACTCTAAATTAATCTTCTCTTCTTCCTCCCCTTCCCCAACATCTTTCTCCCTCCCTTCTCAAGCATTATCACATGTCATGAAGTCATTCCAATTTCATGATGAAATCTGAATCTCTTTTCATAAGAAAGCACAGTTTCTCAGGATTTGGTTTTTCAAAACAACTTACATAGTCATAATGTAAGACATGTAGGTTAGGTTGTATAGAATCCAATTTTATTAGTATGTACAAATTAGATGGAAAACAACCATTCTCCTTAAATTAAAATAAGATAGAGGCATGCCATTTTAATATCTATATAAAAAAAGACCAACAACAACAAATTCAAATGAACAAAATACAAATGACTAAAAAATTACAAATGATTGGTCAATTTTGTTAAACACATTGGATACAAACATATACTTGAAAAGAGAATGACACAAGAAAATAAAAATTTCCATGTACCTAACTACTTATTATGATTTAAGCTATTGTAAAAGATTTTCATCTTTGTAGTTGTTGATGACATGTTGTTCCAGATAGTTCAATCCAAGATATGACATCTGAAATAATGTTAACTAATATCATCACTATCCACCATTGAGCTTTAAATTCAATTGTGTTGAATAGTAGTGACAAATCTTTGGGAAATGATGTACTAAAGTGAACCCACCAAAGCACATAACAGGTTATCATAACCAACCATTCTTTACGATACACTTGGGGTTCGAAACCAGCCAACACCACAATACCATATTTGGTGACAGATTGAATAGCCCAAATCTTGTCTTTGATTCCTTTGGTATTTGTAAAAGGCGGAAACATATCTTTGGGAAAAAAGCTTCGTAACCAAAAACAGAAAATGACATAACTGATTACCGCAAATAACCAATCTTTATAATTAGCCATGGGAGATGTGATAAGAGTAAACTAGAACATGCCTCGTGCAATATTTACAACCACCAAAATCAAACCACTGATCCCTTTGGTATTTGTAGAGGGCATTGAGCTATCTTTGGAATTATGATAGAACTTATAGAGACTTGGAAGCACAATACTGATTGCCTTAAATAACCAATTTTTATAGTCGGATAGGGAAGATTTGAAAACAAAAGAAATGAAGATAGTGTTTGTAAAACCTCTAGCCATTGATGAAAAAATAAAAACCACACTAGCACTTTTAGTTGTGGTATTTGTACAAGGATTTTCTTCCAAATCCAACCAATACTGATCTAACCAGCTCTTGAAACTGAACAACAAAAAACAGATAGAAGCAATTATCCATGTTGGAAACTTCAACTCATAGTGGTTGTAAGTAATTGATCCAATGACTCCAATGATAAAACTAAACAACCCAAGGTCTATTTGTGGTTGTAACACCACTAGTACACATAGAAGAAAAACTGAGATGCACAACATAGCACTGAGGCCCTTCAAGGAATTATCATAAAATTTTGCAAAAAGAAGTGCTATAATAAAGAAGATGAAGCTTGATGTTGAATTTACCATGTAGCTACACCTTCCATGAAGAATTTTAAAGTTACTCCAATGCTTTGAATATGTAAATGGGCCAAGGCCAATAATCATCAATAAATGTGTTTTGACTCCTCTTCTATCATATTTAGAAATTAACTCTGTATTCAATAGAAGAAATACGGCGAAGAACAAGGCAAGTTTACCGATCAGTTTGGCCTTTAGCTGACCCTTTGCTGCTTCATTTTGGAGATGCATCTTGAGGGCTTCCGATAGATTCTTCATCTTCTCAATAATAGGATCCAACAGAGATCTCATTGTCGATTGGAAATACACCTTGAAGGCTTTCCATTGATTTTTCATCTCCTCTTCAATCCAAACATGCAAAAGTATTACCTGATAGATAAGACTGGTTACTGTCAATAATGGATGAAACTTGATAACCATCCTCAAAATCCGTGGTACTGCCATTGAATCTCTCATGTCTTCCATTTGGGAGAAAGCTAGATAGGACTAGTAGCACAGGTGGTTATTATATATGATGGATTAATTCTACATGGTGTAAAATAAAAGCCTGTTTACCCAATACGAGTTGGTGCAGAATTCAAAAATAATTCGTTGATTTAGTCAAAGGTTTTGGTGGGGACATTGATTAGTATTGGAACGTGAATTGGTTACTCCACGGTGGGACGTGTGCGGTGGACCTTCCATGAACTTGTATTAGTATTGAAATATGGCGTGGATCTTCAAAGTTCAAAGTCGTCATTTGCGGTCCTTCTTTCAATTTTTTTTTTTTTTTTGAAAATAGGCAATTCATGGGCCGTGCTTCCGGATCATTTGACGTGGGGAGAGGGACTTCCGTTCACTTTGATTAGAATTCTCATTTGACCATCACTTTCCTTACTAGCCATGTTCATTTTCTTCTCATTTGAATGTTGTCCACAAGTGGATGCTTTTGCAAAATTGCAAATAATTTTTTTAAATTATAAATTATTTTTAATGAAAAAAATTTATAACTTTATGGCATAAATTAAGAGTATATTATATAATATGTCAAATGGGTGGATCCATTAATATACAAGTATCATCTTGAAGGTCACATTTAAAATTCAAGTTTTTTTATCAGCACTTAAAAATTTAAAATTTTTTTAATACATTAAGCTGACACGAGTGATGTGCCCTTTAGATTGCTTGAAAAAAATTAGTCTTTAAATAAGCAAAAACAAATGTCTAATTAGTTTTGCTTTTATAAAAGTAAACACCAGTTTTAAAATTAATACTATATATCTAAATAGTTTTAATTAAACATTTGATAAAATAAAAAAGATAAGGGATTTATCCAAAATTTTATTTTAAAATTTGATATGAAGAATCATTACTCAGATAATACGAGATAACCCACCCTTGACAAACCCGTTCTCCACCTACTTTAGAATTTGATAAAAAAGACTTCCAACTTAAACGTTCAAATTTCACCAAAAAAAACAAGTACGGGTAATGGTATTCACTAGGGGTGGGCGCTTGTGCCCGCAACGGGAAAAAAAACCGTGCCCGCCCGCAACCGCAACCGATGGTTCGGGCTTTTTTGGCATTCGGTTGGGCTGGCCTCGGTTGCGGTTGCAACCGAGAGCCTAGTCGGGCGGTTGTCGGTTCTTAAGC